AAAAAAACAAACAAAAAAAAAAAAATACCACACACAGAAAACTAATATTCTTTCCCACTGAATGTTTCTGAAAGAACAAAAACTCAAGGATCTCGGCAAATGGTCATGTGACTTCTTTGGCAGACAAAATCTGAGAATAACCTGAACAAGTTCAACTTGTAACAAAGCCATGGAGAATTTAACCCCCCCCCCTTTTTTTTGACAAAAATGATGGATAGTTTGCTACATCATTCTGGGCATGATCCCAGGATCCTATGTGATTCGCGCTCTTCTTGCTTTCCTTATACAAATTATTGTTGGCTGCCTAAAGTTTTATTTTTTAGATTACGAATGAAATGGCTTTTACATAGAAAAAGCTTTCCTCTGATGACTCCTCTGAGTGAGCCTGATTGGATTTTGTTAAAAAAAAAAAAAACCCACAGTGATCCTGATTCAGCTCCTAAAGCCTTTGATGTTTCAAGTGTGATCATGAATTTGGGATTCTCGAGAATAGGATGGCATTTTGTGACTAGCTTGGAAAAGTGTCCCACTAGTTCGTGATATTACCAGTCCAGATAACTGCTTTGCAGAGAAGGATATTGGTCACAAAATTGGAAGAAAAAAATGCTAAAAATCATGCTATCAAGAGTTAATGGGAAAACTCTAGGAGTTAGGAAAGAATCAGAACCATAGACAGCCATAGCATCCTCATTTCAAATAGCTGTGCCAATACTATAGGAAGCTGAGAGGAGGGGGATATGAGAGCAAGGGCTAAGCAATGCCAACTGTGAGGAATAAGCGTTGACGTTCTGCTGCTCACGGGATGATGGAATAACCTGGTGTGTTCCCCACAGGAGACAGAACAGCACAGAACGTAGAATGAACTGATTCACCTTCTGCTCTGAGTTATTATGAGAACTTAAATTTCACTAGAGGGGAACATTAACCACTACCTGCAAAATTCTCTCTCACTTTGCATGATGCTAGAACCACCATTGCTGCCAACTGGGCACACGGCACTAACTGAAGGTGAGCCTAGTTAGAAAACTCTGTGGTTGTTTGCTGGACTCTTTATGATTTAATAGTAAAACTATGAATCAAGTAGGTAATGTTTACCAGTGGGAAACTTGGCAGACAGGAGGAGAATAGGTTAAGGGAACAAGTTGGAAATTGTGGTAACCATTACCAGAAATTTGAGGAAACAAACTTTAGTGTTAAACTCTTTAGGTAACGTGTTGAAACTGTATAAATTGGCTCAGGCTATCTGGGGCCACTTGTTTGAAACAAGTGTCAGAGTTTCATCATGGCAGAAACTTCACACACTCGTCCCAGGTCATCAGACCTGTGAGGGATTAGGAGTTGGTCTCCAAACAGGTGGTGCACCAACATGCCTGATAGGAGGTAATCTACTGGATATTCTTATTGTGTAAAAACTGCTTCCACCTGAGTAACCTGCAGATCCTCTGGGAGTGAGTCCAGGTGAGGAAGGATAGATAATTCAAGAACATTTGAGGAAGTGGTGAGGAAAAAAATGGAAAGAATAAAAAAGTAAGGGAAGGCCTTTCATTTGACAGAGAAACAAAATATAATGAGACTATAATAAAATCACACAATATAAATGACATGAGTTGTAAAAGAAGATACAAAGAGAGACCTGCATATTTTCCAAGGTCCCTTAAACAAGAACTACAAGATCCTAACAAAATGAAAATCAAAGAAATCTCCCGGGGCCCTGCAGTTCTGTCCTTTCCCCATAATACAAAATGGGTTGAGCAAGGAGGGCTGTTCCACCAAAACTGAATCAATTTGCTGGCTGCCTTCAAGCGTTTCTCCACTGCAGAAAATATTTCTCACTGTTAGAAGTATCTCCTTCCCTTATGATAAGGAAAAGAATACCTGTTAGGATCACCTAGAAACTATTTTACTTCCTATAATTGATTACTGGGTGTTTGCATCAGAGTGCGGGAAAAAAAAAACCTAATTCAAAACAAAGGCAAGATTAGAGAATTTTAAATAGACATTGTATAGCTTGTATTATACAACCAAAACAACTTGTTCTCCATAGTAGACACACCGGAAAAGATGGTGGCAGATTTCCCAGATCTGAAGAAACAGGAAGATAGAAGAGAACTAGATGGCAGGAAATAATCAAAGGAAGATCTGAATTCAACAAAATAGAAACAACGAAAACAATAAAAAGAATCAATGAGACAAAGAGCTGGTTCTTCTAGAAAATCAACAAAATAGACAAACCTTTATCCACACTGACCAAAAGACAGAGAAAAGATTATCCAAATTAAAAAAATCAGAAATGAAGAGGGGGACATAACAACAGACACAGAGGAAATACTATATATCAAGATGACAAGAGTTCCTTAAAAGGAAATAAATAAGTCCCTCAAATTCAGAAAAACAGAATTGAAGGAAATCAATAAATCATTCAAAGAAATCAGGAAAACAAAAAAAAAAATGAGAAAACTAATAACCACCAAAATAAAGTCAAGAAAAAATATAAAGACTTAATGTCTCTAAGATTTCAAAAGTGCTTATACCATCATTAATATTATAATCAATTCTACTCTTCTACATAGGTTTAGCAGTGAAACACTGCTGTACACAGAAACTATCATTTAAAAGCTCCACAAAATAAATTCCAGTTGGGTCCTAAACTAAATGTTACAGTTTACAAGCGCAGACCATCTGGAAGATACTAGAGAGACCACACTTCTCAGAGTTTGGCAAATCTACCTTCCATAGTGACAAAGCAAGCACGTACAGGCACAAAGATTTTACAGAAACATCAGCAAGGCAGACATTTCCAAATATGACCCCCCTCCAAATTCTCTTCACAGATGCAGCCTGAAGAGTTACATTTTTCGGAGGCTGCTGCCTCAGCCCACGGATCACGGGCCGAATCATGCAGGAACAGCAGAAACATGCCGAACTCTGCAACCGCTCGCTACCTTTCACCCAGATAAGGGCGGACCCATCACACGGGCCCTACCGACTCAGCCGGCTCCACACAGTTTGGCGACAGTGGCCCCTTGCTCACCATGGCCTGCCCGGATTCCTTGTTTGATGACAGATGCGCGTAGCTCACCATGGCCTGGCTGCCCAGTTCAACCACGCTCTACCCAAAGGGAGCCCAAGATTCAGCAAACAGCTCCAACTTCCAACTTCCTCAGGAAAGCAAACCAGCCCAAAACCGGAAGAACAATCCCATCTGATTGACGGGTCATTCAAAGCCTCCGATTGGCTAGTGATGGCTGAGTGACAGACAGGACATAGCGAACTGAGCGGCTAAGACAGAAAGTTTTTTGTTTTTTGTTTTTTGTTTTTTTTTGGTTTTTTTTTTTTTTTTTTTTTTTTTTGGTTCGAGACAGGTTTTATCTGTGGCTTTGGAACCTGTCCTGGCACTAGCTCTGTAGACCAGGCTGGTCTCGAACTCACCGAGATCCGCCTGCCTCTGCCTCCCGAGTGCTGGGATTAAAGGCGTGCGCCACCACCGCCCGGCTATAGCTTCTCTTCTAAGCACAGAAATATCCCTTAGTTGCTGGAAATTTTTGCCAAATTCAACAGCAATTCTCTTGTTAATGTAAACCAATGGGCTTTGTTTTGTTTTTTTTGTTTTGTTTTGTTTTGTTTTTGTTTTTGGCTTTGTTTTTTTAAAAAGTAAACAAATTCAGAAGGAGGCTAATCAGACATTCTTGCCCAAAGCAAACCCTGGGTAACTGAAGAATATAATAAAATAAATTATCAAAGTGGCAGCAGAGCTTCGACTCTCAGCCTCTTGTCAGAAAAAATTGGGACCTGAAGCAGCCCCTTCACGAAGGCGCTGGATTCAGACCATTACCAGCTCTCCCAGGCATAGTCCTGATTTCAGACAAGGTTACGTTTCTCCAGGGCCAAGGAGAGATACCTCCAAGGCATAGGCAGGCTGCCAAACATGGAGAGATCTAATTTCTCAAGAATTATCTGGAAATTCTGCACTTTTCATTTGTTATTTACTTGTAAAATACATTTCGAGATTATTTGTGGATGGTGTTTATCCAGACTCACATCCTTGGTAGCACTGCACTGTGAAACTTGATATAGAAGAGCAGAATTGGGGATCTAAAGGATTTACCAATGGTTAGAGGATAGGGAGAGACACAAGGTAGAACTTAGCTGAGGAAGGACTGCTTCTCAATGACCCCAAAGGTAAGTAGTACGCAGAGAAGTCCTGGTTGGTAGTAGGATGTAAATGTTTATTCACCTTTCTGTGTGTTGTTATTTGTCACCTTTCTGTGTCAGAAACAACGAACAGGATGCTTATCGGTGCAGACGTTAAGAGAAACACTCTGTGGAAAGATCTTTCTATAGTAAGCTAGATCATCAGAGTTTTATATGGAATTTCTAAGATATGTTGTACTGGATGTTGTACACATCAATTTCATCATGTTTTGTTTATATATTTTCTCTTTCTTTGTATTGCTGACATACACCCATAAAAACACAAAAGCATAGCTATAGTAACAATGCTATGAATTATGTGAAGACTGCCTTGTGGTTTTGCTAAGGTTTTGTTTAACCCACTGTACCTAGGAAACAGTAATTTACTGCACTGTCTTACATACAGTTTCCAGTTAGCTTTCTTTATTTAACTGTTGCTGCTCAGCACTATCATAAGACAGTGAATTGGTGCCATCCTGTGATCAGCTGTGCCTGCTTACAAAGGAAAACAACCCCCACATTTGCTGTACATATAAATATGAAAATGATAATGACTTGATGGTTCTAGAAACAAAAAGACTAGAAAGCATTTGCAAATCATGAAGTTCTAAGTAGGTTGTTTCAGGTAAATAAAAGATGACATTTAGTGATCATTTATTCTATTAAGATTGACAAGTTCAGGTACCAAGTATTTTGAGGACAGGCTGAAATGTATGTCCAATAAAAGTTTACTTATTTATGTCTGGCTCTCAAAATATTATACAGTAGTTAAAAGAGCTGAATTCATGAAAACTGTCTGTGATTACAACTGTACCCTTTCTAAAAAATTTCTGTGAGTTCTAAGTCGCTGGGCTGGAGACCCACTCAATATATCTGAAACAATGTCCTGTCTACAAAGAGAAGGGTTTGGGGACAGGTCAATCTCTTTCCAAGGACCCTGGTCTGTAGATCCCAAGAAAGGGCCACCCAGCACATTTTTACATCACATATAATTGATTAACTGATTTCACATTGGTCATCCCTGTTTGTTAAATATTTTAAAACTGTTATAAAGTTGAATATGGTGGTGCTTGTGCTTAATCCCAGTACCCAGAGGCAGAGGCAGGAAGATCTCTCAGTTCCCGACTATGTAATATAATCTCTGGTTACAATTCCAACCAGGGCTTCACAGTGATATTCTAACTCATGCAAAAATCTAACTTTACAGAGGCCATTATTCCAAATAACAAACCATGTTTTGTTTGCTTGTCTGTTTCTTTTGCCAGGAGCTCTGGGAATGATCTGAAGGCCTTGTACAAACTGGAAATATCCCCAATCCCTGATCCACACTCCAGCCGCTTCCAGGAACTTTCCTTTCCAGCATTATATCAAATGAAAAGTCAATATGAATGAACCATCAATCAAAAAGTATGATGTTCTCAAAGCAAATAAAGGTGTGGGACTAAAGAAGAAAGAATATAGGAAAAAATTTACTTTTCTCCATACCTATTTTTGTCTTTATCATACCTTTTATTGAATATATGTCTATATAAATAATGTTTAACTTTTCCACAAAAAAACAATGAATTTACCTGCAGTAATCTTTGTAGTTTCCAGGAGGAGAAGATGAAGCCCCCACAACAACAACTCCATCTGGTTGATATGACATCATAATTCTGATAACACTACTAGAAGACTGGTTTTGGGTACCAGCTGCTCAAGATGGTCCCAACTTAGTTAGCTGAAATGGTGCACCTTCTCCCAGTCTTCAAATAGGAACCCCAGAAAAACTCTATTGAATACTAAGAGGCTAGTTGCAATTATACCAGACAGAAATCTTGAAACTTAACCACCATTTTACTTTTATGGGATCCCATAGAAAGAACATCGCCCCCATGGCAGCTGGAAATAATTCTAGAAGATGATGTCCTTTCACTCAACAAAGTTTATTCTCAGGGTTAGGGACATCAATTAGGGCTTGATTGTAACTGATATAGAGTTGGGGCTTGGGGTGGAATTTATATAGGCTCAGGAATCTCTTTGAAAAAGAAATAAGCCAGATGGTGGTGGCACACACCTTTAATCCCAGCACTTAGGAGGCAGAGGCAGGCAGATCTCTGTGAGTTCGAGGCCAGTCTGGTCTACAAGAGCTAGTTCTAGGACAGGCTCCAAAGCTACCGAGAAATCCTGTCTTGAAAAAATCAAAAAAAAAAAAAAAAGAAAGAAAGAAAAAGAAAAGAAAAGAAAAAAGGAGAAAAAGGAAAAGAAAGAAAGAAAGAAAAGGAAAATTGGAAGGTATAGGTAAATTAGTGTAGCTTACTCACACTAATAATAGTAATATGGTGAATGCTTGTGTGTGCTCTTATATATAGGCAGTTTACATCAGTATAGATTCTTGTATATCGATACCAATTCAAATTATATTTGTTATATTGAATAAGCTCCTATATCTGTTTACAATATTTGAACATCTAGACATAGTTATTTTGTCATATTGTCTGCATGTGTCCTTCTACCTCTGCTTAAGACAGTTTGTATATTGATACAATTTTAGGATAGATTTATCATATTGTACTATACTTTTCTTCCTCTGCTCAATTATACATTGCCTACATTTTGAGGTCATTGTCTTCCTTTTTTTGCACAGTTGTTTAAGGATTGTTTAATATTCTAATATGAAGTCTTACTCTTTAAGCTATATAGGCATTGACAATTATAAAGCAATAGTCATCCATGTTTGCCATACTTCTAGTTATACTAAAAAGTATCCTTAGATTCATAGAGATTTATTCTGCATAGACTGGTAATCTCTAACCACTTCAAAGAACTGTACCATATGGCATTTAAATAACTTAGGGTTCTGTTGTCATGAGACACAATTGCTCTTGGCAACACTGATCTATTCCCGAGAGAATGTTGAACACCAAAGGCACTCCGCTTGGAGCTTGTTTTCTTCTTTGCAAAATTGGCCTTTGGGCAAATAACTGCCCATGCCTTGACCACTGAAAGAATGCACAGTCTCTGGGACAGGACAAGCAGGATACAAAGAAAAAGACTGTCAAATCTTGCCAAGACAGGTTAAGACAGTTTTGAAAAATTTCCTGCCTCTGAAAATGGTCTGTCAATTACCCTAGGCCTTAGCTAAAGTTGATTGCTCCAATGTTGCAAATGAGACTTTGAGTGATTGCCCAGGTAGCCAGTTGTCTCTGTCATTTATTGCACATTTTGGTAGTTGCCTGATTGCACTTTCTGTTTACCGAAGTAATATTATTTCACTTCTCAGGTCTTTGATGGGCTTGAACTAGGTAGTTGTAATTGCTTTCATCTCATGACTTGGTCAATCTATTTATAATACAAGACTTAGACTCTTTAGGATCGGATAATTATTGAAACATTTAGCCCATGTTTCTCACTTGATATTAATTATGCTGGTTGTAGTTCCAATTTTTACACTTGATATTTTTTATTTTAGTACATAGTCTTGTATTAGACTTTGAACTCTCTTATTTAAACAAAAGGGGGAGGTGATGTAGGAAATCTTTTAGCCAGTAGCCTTTAAGATACCAGTCCACTTGGGCATGGTCTCTTATACTATAAATTCTGACAGCCTGAACTCACTCTCTCCCAGCTGCTGGATTGTGTTCCTGTTTCCCATTCATGCAGAGGACTGTGATCTGTGAGTCTACCCCTAAATAAATAAGCCTTTATTATACTCAATCCTGAGCTAGCATGGGATTATTTTTTTAGGGTCAATTTTCAATGGGGTCTATGATTTCTTTAGTTGTTCACCAAAGGGAGAAATATAATTGTAGCTTTAGAATATACTTATTCCAACCAGGCAGGCAGTTTTCAGGAATTGACAAGTTTGGGACTGTGAAGATTTAATGCCCAAGACAGGATCACAAAGCAGGAGCCTGCAGAGTATTGTCACTGAGAGCTACATGTAGCTGCCCAAAATGGAAAAGAGCTGAAGACCTGGAGGGAGGCTGACCCACCACTGCTGAGTGGATACAGAGAGTGCAGTAGGAGCCATCTTGTCCTCAGGCACACTGCAAGCTTTGCTCTCTGGCATTTGCTCCTTTGGCTCTCATGCACAAATCT